TTACGAAATATGGCGTTGGTGGAGGTGCTGATGTCGTCTCTGTTGCGGCTCCTACAGGTGGTACAAAACCTGAGGCTCTTTCTAATTCTAGAGGCTTTGTAATTTCCCCAATTCTACCTGCTATGTGCTGGAATTTTCTTCACATCATTCTAGAGTGTGCTCGAAGCTATCAGAATCAGCTGTGCGGGATACCCCACTAGACGCTCGTTTGATGAGTTTCTTCTCCGATTTGGGGTTCTAGCTCCAGAAGTTTTGGGAGGAAAGTGAGTTATTTTTCTTCTTTGGCTTCACACGTGTATATACTTTAGGGCATCATTTTTCTTCTTTCCGTCTTCTTCTGGCATCAGCTTTTCTTTATTGTCGTCATTTTTGTATGAGCCATAAAATATTCTTGGGTGAAGAGAAGGTTACATGCCAAATGATTTTAGACAAAATGGGATTGAAGGGCTATCAGGTACATTTGATTCCTATATGGTAATTTGTTAAATTGTAGAAGACTTCGTTGCTGGATAGTGGGCTTCAACGAATACAAGTGCTAATTCTCTATACGAGTTTTAATTTTCCCACATCAGAATTGTGGAGATTGCATGACTGGCATATTAGTATTGGTTAGGTACCCCTTAGACATCTACTTCTGTACTTAAATATTTATTTCACAATTGGATATCCAGTCTCGGGGCATGGCATCCATTGCTTCCGTATTCTTTCTTCAAAATTGTACTTTCTCCATGCATTAAAAAGAGCCTGGTTCTGTAAATCAGCTTTTAGCGTATTTCGTTACGCTAATGACATTTGAAAAGTATTTCCATATTTGCCCTTGCCAAATATGTGAGAAGATAATGATTGCTTTCATAAACTGTTTGCTTATGGGTTTAGTAGGAAGTATCATTTAGAAAGTTTGCTATTTCTATGGGCTATAACAAATACCTGGAGGCAGTAGTATGTTTGATTGACTTCCATCAATTTGCCAATGCTGTAATGGAGTTCCCTTGATACATATTCATGTGGTATGCCTGGATTTGAATTTAGGTAAGACAAAGGTCTTTTTACGAGCCTGTCAAATGGCTGAACTAGATGCAAGGAGAGCAAAGGTTCTTGGAAATGCAGCCAAAACCATTCAAAGGCAAATTTATACTCTCATTGCACGGAAGGAATTCATCTCATTACGTCGAGTGGCAATTCAGTTACAGTCATGTTGGCGAGGTATCTCAGAAATTATCCTTTGGATTTAATTTCTACCTCATTGTTACCTCAAGAATTTTCATATATGCCATGTACAATACACAAGAATTTAAGTGGATTAGCTCAATGCAAAGTGTGAGCTTGCAAGCTCTAGGGAATGGCTCATGAAACTCCTTGATTGGGTGTGTTGAAGCTTTCTCAGATTGAATAGATTTTCCATTCCTTGGTCACACATATATTTGCAACACATTGACATTTGTATCTTGTTTATATAGCTTGTTGTAGGAGAATTTGAAAAGATAATCCCTGATGAGTGGAAATTTACTTTCATGTCCCATTTGGATGAGATTTTATTAATAGAATTTGTTTATATAGCTGCTATTGTTACTCTGTGGTTGGAGGCAACTGGTTGCTAAGAAAGAGCTCCGAAAGCTCAAAATGGTTCTAGCTCTATTCTTCACGTGCTTTTATTCCTGTGGAAAATTGTTGTTGGTTTGCATGATTACGTTTGTACATTGACTCATGCTACAAGGGAAACGGGAGCCCTCAAAGAAGCAAAAGACAAGTTAGAAAAGAAAGTAGAGGAGCTTACATGGCGCTTACAGTTTGAGAAACGATTGAGGGTAAACTTGTTTAGAAAGTTCATTTCCGATTTACTGAACTTGAATGTGACGACGCTCCTTATCTTTTGTCTATCAAATGCAGAGTAAGTTGGAAGAGACAAAAGCAAATGCTAGAGTAATAAAAGAACAAGAGGCAGCACAGAAAGCAATTGAAGAAGCTCCTCCAGTTGTTAAAGAGATCTGTAATGGATTTTTAGGTTTGAGTGTGCAAGACCTGTGAGCTGTAGTTTGCCATCTTCAGAAAATAGTGTTGGAGAATATTTTATTTGGCAATTTTTTGAAATTAGTTGAAACTTGAAAGACTTTGTTATGATCGAGTTTTTCCATTATCATTTTATTTCATTTTGAAGCTCATTTTGTATTTAAGTGGTGTTGTATCAAATGCTAATGTTCAAGTGTATGGATTCAAAAATTTGTAATAAAATTATCAATTTTTATGCAATTCGTTTTAAACAAGTATTCCTCAGTAAAAGTTAAAACGGTTAGTTGAACGTATTTAATGAGTATATAAAAAAAAAAAAAACCTACGGTAACGTTCAAAAAACGTTGCCGTAGATAGCTACGACAACATTTCGACAAACGTTGCCGTACATAGCTACGGCAACGTTTGCTGAACGTTGCCGTAGACTTTTGGCAACGTTCAAAAAACGTTGCCGTATCTCTCTACTCTACGACAACACCTCGATTTACAACACACGTCCAAACGTTGCCGTAGGCCTACCACAACGTTTTTTGAACGTTGCTGTATGCTGTTTTTGTTGTAGTGAGTCAAGTATTTAAAACTAGTGTCCCTGTGAACTCACACTTGGTGTAAAAGGATTTAAGAGACACAACAATCATACTTAAAAGTGAAACAACCTTCTGCACCATTAACATTTCAAAGATACGAGGGAAACAATGATTGCCAAATACAACAAAACGTTACAAAAATTATTGCCAATGATATGACAGAAACAATGATAGCCAATAAGACAAAAAGTTACAAAAATTTGCTGCCAATGATTCGAAGGTAACAACTGAGAAACCTATCTTGCAAGCATTGTTGGGTGATTTCAAATTAAATGAAACTATTATCAAATGGCTATACTTCACTTAATAACAGATGAACGCGAGGCTAACTAAATAAAGGTCCTAACCTTTTACTGTAAAGAATGATTTAATTATAAACACAAAAAGAGGCACTTACAAACACACGTCATCTCTCCCCAGGAGCTGTATAGGTGTCCCTACTCTTGGCACAGACAATATGGCCTCAGGCTATTCATCAGGCCTGAGAATCCGACCTGGCCACCAATAACCATTTTGCCTTCGGACCCAAACCAACCCGCCCACCGACGTGTCAATGGCTTTTTTGTTGTCATGAGCAGAACGACTCATGTTTCACAATTCTGGAAAAAAAAAAGAGGTCTATGAAACATTATGTAAAGTTGAAGTCATTGCATGTCAAGGGCACGCTCAGTGGTTCCATAAAAATCTCAAATCCAAGAGTAAATTTAAGTGCCTTCCTCAAAATCCTCAAAATAAAAACTCAGGTATCTATCATACAACAGGAAAAAACGGAATCTTCATTAAAAAAAAAAAGATCTTCTTTAAATCCAATTTTCTTGCATGCAATTTTTTTAGGCTTCTCTATTGCACAAAATAACATTTTAAAGGACTTTTTTTCCTCTCAAAAATTGAAGTCAATCTTGAAAATATATTTTTTTCACACACACATATATAACAACTTTAAAAAGAGAGGATTTCACATTGAAGAATCTTCTTATGGCTGCAAAAGAAGTACGAGGAAACTGAGAAAGACATATTTTTTGTTAGCAATGTGTGTGTTTATGTACATTTTTTTAGAAATTAATCTTGTACAGAAAAAAAATTCTTAAAATGGATTTTTACCAGATTTCCCTTTGTGCAAAAGAACATGTAAAAACCTTTATTTCCACTGAAAAATTCTAGTCAGTCTTGAAAATGTATTTTCTCACATGTATACTTGTAACAACTTTGAAAACACAGGATTCCACATCAAAGAATCTTCTTATGGCTGCAGGAGTACTAGAAAAAAGAGAGAAAGAGTTATTTCAGTGTGTGCGCGCATTTTTATATGTACATTTCTAGGTGCTTGTGTGAAAGTATTTAGAAATGTAGAGAAAGAGAACACCATCCAGAAAATGGTTATGAAAATTACCTTCGGATTCTTTTAAGCCGAAGAAGAGAAGGGAAGAGAAGAGAGAGTTTGTGTCTATAAACCCTAGAGAGAAGAGGCTTCCATTCAGATGGAGATAGGAATAGAGAGAATTAAATTGTAATGGGTGGTACAGTCTAGGAAACGAAACGTATCTATTGACTATAAAGAGAAGAGGCTATATATTAAATGAATTACAGGAAAAAAAAAAAACAATACAACAGTCAGCCCTAATTGATTTTGGTACATAGTATTAAATTATATTGGACGATACAACCTAGAAAACTTAAAGTTTTTTCCTTCTTTGGTTGTACTGTAGTACTTTCCTCGTGTACCAAACATGTTGAAGAGGTGTGACAGTTACAACATGAGAACCGATACAAGACTTGGCCTAAGTGCATGCTAACGGGCAGCGTTTTGAATAAAAAATACGTTACTACACTTGGTAAGTTTCGTTTGGTTGTCGAGCTGAGAAGTCATTTACCATATAAGCTCTCATACTAATTCAGAAATGCAATTAGGAATAAAAGTGTGTAAATAAATATATTTTTGAGTGCTGGATTGCATGTGATTAATGAGAATCCTAATTGTACTTTAGACTGTGTTTGTTTGGTAGAGTGATAGAGCACAAAGGTCAATATCTGTACCTATACTGATGGTCTATGATGATCGATTAATATGCCATCGAGTTGATCGTCAATTACCGTATGTGCACTAATTATATGTGCCACTTAGTGAGTCATTCTTTTATCCTATCATATTGAATAGTTCCATTTATCATTCTTATTGAATAATTCCATTTATAATCGTATTGAACATTTCCATTTATCATTCTTTAATATAAATAGTATTGTATTAAATTCTTTCATAGAATTTTCTAATTCTGCAAACCACTAAATAGTAATTTAATTTTTTACTATAGTTGGTAGTGTTGGTTAATAGTTAAAATTGGTTGAGTCATTAATTAATGTCGATGTGGTGGTGGGATCATTATCACTTAGCTGGT